ATAATCCAAAGGAGGTCGGATCTAAGCTTTATAAAGCATCAAAAGTTGCAGAGGTGTGTACAGCTTTCTGGTTTGGAACAGTCTTTCAAGCTTTTGAGAAGAAGCCTTTGCAATTCCAGCGACATGATTATGCCAATACAAATTGGTGTCTATTTAAACCCCCAACAAACTTATCGAAGCAGAAAGCGAAATTGTCTGACCTGACATTATTATATCCGGTTGGGATACATTCAACTTCTTGGAGAAAACCGATGCCTGATTTTTTGTGGCATTGAATTGAACCTGGTTACTTTCACCCTAATTCGAAATCACTTCTAGATCCTCATGCTTCCGATGAAGCCGACTTTGTTGGTGAAATACCCATCGAAAAAAGAGTTACAATTCTTGTGTATTGGATTTAGTTTTAGTTTGATCATTTGTTACTGGTACTTGATGATTGGAATTAGTTTCAATCGCAATACTCGAAACTATTGCGAAATTTTTATAGAAACTTTACATTTCTCATATTTACGTACTTATTGATAATTGATTATGAAAATAAACGTATTAGTTACGACATTTATTACATGAACTTAATACGATACGAAACATTATTCAACTTCCGAAGGTTTACCAAAAAAAATTGGTTGTGTATTATGTACTAATTTAGGGAACAATAATTTTCTGTTTGAAAACCTCATTCAATTATTAATCATTGAGTACGAAACCTTCAACAAAATCTTGATAGAACATAATGCAGAACATCTTAAACGACATAGTCAGTGGAAAGAGTTTGTTAGACTAAACATTACGTTTTTTTGTTTGTTAGTTCATGTAATTCAGTGGCATATACATATAGTAGGAGTGGCCAGACCTGGAATGGTTCAGACATTTAAAATATTTCTAGCTCCATCAGAGAAAAATGTCTGGATGAAAAATTGAAATACACTTTTCGGGTTGTTTTTCAGATTGACCAAAATCAAACTTTTCATTATCGTAGGCGTGTTATTCTACGAGGGTTGATACGGTCAATTATTCACGAGAGTATATTAGCAGTCAACATAAATGAAATTAGTTTGAAAATTTAAATTGAGCATCCCAAAAACTAACGAAATAATTTCGAATACTGAATTGAGTGATATCCAAGTCAACGTTAGAATTGGAGATCAGTGAAAATAGTTTATCACAACATCGATACCTTAGCAATATTTTTTGTCAAGCTATATAATCAACACTGTCATCAGTCAGTTCTTGAGTGTGATACCAAATCATTCAATTGAAATTATGTACAGCCAAGAAGAAGAATATAAATCATGTATTTTTATTTATGGGATAACAAAATATTCAGTACTCTGAATATTTTGGTTCGGTTTAACTTACACTTTTCGTTTACGCTTTTTCTAATTTCGTACTGATTTCAAAAATTATCGGTAACATCTTTGGGAAAAAGCTTTCGGCTTTCTACTGTTCCATTTTTATATAAAAAATATGGGAAATTTCCTAAGAAATTAAGATAGTCATCAATTGTGAAATAGTCAAGAAAAAACATAAATTAAACATCAAAAAAGTTCACATTCAGAGCTTAGGAATACAAAGACTCACCGTCAAGAATTCTAAACATATTAGAAATATTGATAACAATATTCATATGAGGTATATTTTGAAAAAATTCATCCGTTGGAAAAAAAAACAACTTGTAACAAGAAATGTTTTCAGTTGCTTCTTGAAAGTCAATAACGAAGAACACTTTTTTATTTCAATTGGTATTTTGAATGTACGTATGCCGTTATAAGTAGGAGAGCAGGAATGTACTCTACGAGGTCCGGTTATTAAATAACGAGACTGGTTACGAAAACGGGTTTTATTATAAAAATTATTCTACATTCGAATTCTCCCCTTCAATATACTCCCCTTCCCTCGCAAAATACCTTTCCATGCGTTTTCTCCATTGATCGAAGCAGTGCTGGAAGTCTTCTTTGGTAAAGGCCTTTAGGAGCTCCGCCGTTTTTTGCTTTACCGCTTCCATCGACTCAAATCGGGTTCCTTTCATAGCAGATTTTAATCTGGAAACCAAAAAAAGTCGCACGGTGCCAAATCTGGCGAGTACGGCGAGTGTTCGAGCACTGGAGTGCGTTTATCAGCCAAATATCGCTTCACAGATAGCGCGTATGGGTAGGTGCGTTGTCCTGGTGCAAAGTTCACAAGTTATTTTTCCACAACTCGGGTCTTTTCTTACGAAATCGTTCTCGCAGTGATGCCAAAACTGACAAATAGTAAGTCTGGTTAATAATCTGACCCTCTGGAACCCATTCAGTCATCATGATATCGTTAATGCCGAAAAAAACTATTAACATTGCCTTGAATTTTGATTTGGACGTCCTTGTTTTTCTGATTCTGGGCGATTCAGGCGTCTTCCAATGTAGCGATTGCCGCTGCACTGAAATTGCATATTGAAATTGGTGATGTCAATTTTTGACCCTTTAGGTTTTTTGATCAATTTCACAATTCGGAGCAAAATCCTCAAACAAGATATTTGGAAAATGAAACTCGGTTGGGACGATGAAATAACAGATATTCTCAATGAAAGATGGCAACTTTGGCTGTCTGATCTCAAGAGAATATTTTCATTTTAAAATCCCTAGATTATATTCCACTTTGAAAAGAAATGAATCAACAATTCAACTGCATTTGTTTTGTGATGCTTCTGAAAGAGCATTTGCTACAGTAGCATATTTACGTTACCAAAACAAATATTCGGTTCAAGTAGCTTTTGTCAATGCGAAAGCAAGAGTTACCCTCTTGAAACAACCTGTTTCAATACGCAGGTTGGAATTACAAGCAGCATTAATAGGAGCTCGCTTGGGGCACTACTTGATCAACAATTTGGATTCGAAAATATCAGAAGTTATTTATTGGACATACCCTAAAACAGTGCTATACTGGATTAGATCAGAAGTACATAGATATAAAGTCTTTGTGTCTCAACGTTTGGGGGAAATACCTAGCCACACCAAAGAAAATCAATGGAAACATGATAACGTTGCGGATGAAGCTACTAAAAGATATCAAATTTTGGATTTCCATTCAAATAGTCAATGGCTCATGTAATTCAGTGGCATGGCAAGGTCCTGAGTTTCTACAATTTCCTAGGGAAAATTGGCCTACAGAAAATGAGAATACAAGAAAAATGTTTTCTAACTCCCCAATATCATCCATATAGAAAATATAACAATGTTTATGGAAAAGAAAAAGTGTGACTTTTAACCTCGCGCCGGGGATGGTTGTCACAGTGTCTGGGGCAAGTAGTCACATAGGTAAATTTAATCCTCCATGCAGTCCAAATCTGGGAGGTGCCTGGGAACGTCTCATCCAGATTGTTGAAAAAATCTTGAAGGAAATGTTACAAACCAAAAATTCTCAAGAATATGTTCTACGAACTGTTATAGCAGAAATGGAGAATATAGTGAACGCACGACCTCTGACACACATTTCTCTTGACTCTAGCGACTCACACCAAATCATTTTCTGATTGGACCTTCCTATGCTGCAATGTCTTGCGTTGACTTGAAAAAAGAAAATTTTAACCTACTCTCAGAATGGAAAGCAGCCCAAAAACTGGCAGATATATTTTGGAAGAGGTGGACATATGAGTACCTTACATATCTGACAAAACGAAGCAAATGGAAACAAGAAACACCAAGTATTCGAAAGAACGATGTTTTTCTCATAGTTGACCTCAATGGTCCAAGAAATCATTGGCTCAAAGGAATAGTTTTGAATTTGTATTATGCGAAAGACAACCGAATCAGAATAGTTGACCTTCAGTTAGCTAACAGAGTCATTTTAAGAAGACCTGTTTCAAGACTTTGTGTATTGGATGTGAAAAGAAGACATAAAGATTGAGTAATTGTTATTTTCTGCCCTAGAACAATTACTGGGGGAAGAATGGTACTGTTTTAATTCCTGGACTAATTTATATTGACATTTGTATTAGTTGCTAAGATAAAATATTAAATAAAGCATTGTTTTTGACTCTTTGAAAAACGAATTTCAAAAATTATCAAAACTCGGTCATTCGCCCTGATATAAAGAAATCTTATCCATCTAAGGTAAGATTAATACTTAACACTGAGACGTGGTTGGCCATCCTCAGATACAAATACCATAACGCGTAATACACCATCAATTGAAAATGTGTAAGTACTGTTCTCGAAATTTTCAGATGTATAGATAAGCACAGAAGTTTCTTTCAGATACAGACTGTAAAAAAAACTAATTTTTAAATTAAATTACACAAAAATCACACTTTTCTTCAGGTAGGACGGTAGCCGGTCGGGTTGACGTGGTTGTTTTGCTCCACTCACTCAATCGACCGCTGCCGCTGTGTGAATCGGTGGTTCAAGCCGCAGCAGGCCGATCGATCGAGTTTCACTTCCTGTCGTCCAACCCGTGTTAGGAATCACACGTTGAAAGGTAGGACCTCGTTAGTCCTTAGCTCGCACAAGTTTTGAGAGTTGTCGTTCGTAGGGGGGTGAAAGCTGTTTGACGTAAAAACAGATGTCAAACAGAGCTTGTAGATACTTCAAACATTCGGTATGGAACTTAAACACATTTTTATTCATTGGAACGCTACACAACGGAATGTTTGAAAAGTTTCGGGACGAAAACAATTATTTTCAATTCCTCATCAGCACCTTCTTGAATAAATTTGAAGACGAAAAATTCATTTTTTGCATTACATTACGTCTTTGTTACTGGAAGAGGCAGTTTTGTTCTTTTCACGATGACAGTTCATAAAAACACCCATATGGTTAGTTAAAACAATCCCAGTCCGAGAGTGTTGATTTTTTTCTAGCTAAAAAAATATTTCTTATATTCGTACTTTTGAAAATATGTTCATTAATCCTGTTTATTGAAATATACAACTCACCACTTGACGGTATATTCTAATAATTTTTTATCAACTTATCATTATCTTTACTTTAGAGGTGTATATAAATGAAAAAGAGCTGGGTTACGTTTCAGTGTGCAACCTATATTTATTGTGAATGTTTACGAGTGATTAAGTTTTACAATTTCAAGAAAAATGGGAGAAATAAGAACATTTGTTTTCATACACTCGGAGACTACGGGACTACCTGAAAGAAAGGATATGCCAAAAATGAATGAACTCAGTATAGTCGCTGTTCAAGCAGGTCATATCCAAATGAATGTTTTTCCACGAGTTCAGAACAAACTTCATTTTTGTTTCAACCCTTGTAAAGAGATATCTCCTCATGCTAAATATATGTCAGGTAAATTGTTTCATTAAAATATTTCTGGCGAGTATCAAACTGATTCACTCTTTTAGAGTTAACAAATGAACTATTGGAGGAGATGCCCAAATTTTGTAAGAAAACCGTGGAAATGATACATGATTTTCTGGAGCGGCTCCCTCAACCAATATGTCTTGTTGCTCACAGTGGAAACACGTTTGACTTTCCTATTCTACAAAATGAAATATCTACAACAGGAAGTCCATTGGCTCAAAAATTTGTGAACTATTTGTGTGCAGACTCGGTGGAAATATTTGAAGATATTCATATCGCCACTACCACTGATTTTTCACATTTCAATCCAAGGTAATACTGTTTACGTTTTCAGAGTTACTTTTTAAAGATATACCCGCATAACAGTTATACAGAGGGTCAAACGGGAGCGAAATACGCGTTACAGAAAAATTAAATTTCATTTATATGAATTCATATTACCACGTTTCAAAACTTCAATTTTGAATATAGCAAAAATAGTTTTTCATTCATAGAAAATTAAAATAACTCTCCTGTTTCAACTTGGATTGAGAGGAAATCGAGAGATTAACAACTTAAATGATTGAAAGTTTTTTTGAAAGCTAGAAATACCATGAATTTCTTATTCGAGTAAATGGTGTCAATCTTAACAATTTTCTCCTATGAACATAAGGGTAGTTTACTTTTGTATCGTTTGCTGATTATTGGTTCTCCCTGTTTTTCTGACGGGTGAAATATTCTGAAGAGTCGGCAATCAATTTTTTTTCATTTGTTTATATTTAAATATATAAAACTGAAAGATGTTACTGAGAGTTAACACACACACACACACCTGTAATGCCCGTATCCACGTGGGGTTTGTATATGGCTGAGGTTGTTTGTTTGTTGGTCTCTCATATAAGGAATATATCAAGATTTCGAAGATTTTTTTGCAATTTTCATTATATAACCTCACTTTTCGTGAGTACCATTTAACTACTTAGGGGAGACAGAGGTTGAAAGTAACATTTTTTTTCTTTTGCATTTTTAGTGTCCTTTTTTATGAATTATCGATGATTTGAGAAAAATGTTTTCTAACTCCCCAATATCATCCATATAGAAAATATAACAATGTTTATGGAAAAGAAAAAGTGTGACTTTTAACCTCGCGCCGGGTATGGTTGTCACAGTGTCTGGGGCAAGTAGTCACATAGGTAATTGAGGGGTATAAAAAACATTCAAATAATTATTTTAATTGAAAGTGGAATAATATACGTAAATAATTATATCCGAGAAGAGAAAAAAGTGACCCATTTGTAGGAAGAAAACATTTGCTTCAAATGAATAACTACCTTCTGGTAACTAAAATACCAAAAATATCCATCAGGCCGCAATTCTTGTAAACTAAAAATATCCATCCTAGCGAAATTATATTTAGTCAGTCTAAAATTTAGTGAATATTCGAAATCACAATTATGGTAAATGTTTTTCGAATATCCTTGGGAGACGAACCGAAATAAATACTTGAAGCCATAAGTATGTATCTTTCCAATTCTTTCTTCTATTTGTCGGTGAAGATTTGTCTATATCTTTGATAACCAATTTTTGTTGATGGCATTGATAACACCGCGTTGCTTATCTCTTCAAAAGTGAATATTTTACAAAACCGTGTCAGAGTGCGATAATAATTAATCCCAAAATCACTTTTTTTGCAGCACGCAGTATCACTGCGTGTAAAACTAGTCGATCAGACTTTCTCATACGATGCCATGACACTTCTATGATTTTTTAAACAAACAGAATTGTATGTAGCAGAAGCTCAAAAAGCCAACACACATATGGTGTTGGTTGTCACATGTGACTACCAGCCGCCCCCGTCAAGTTGAGACAACCAGCCCCAAAACACATTCCAAAATATAACCCCCTGAAATAACTCTAAGTCGATATTCATTCATAAAAACGTATAGTAATATCATGAACCACATATGTCACATTGAAAATACACGAAAAGATACATGAAAGAAAAGTCTAGTATACTTATGAGACTTGACACAAATGCACAAAAATTCACTTTTGCCTTCGGAAAAAACAAATGAACTGAATTGACGTTAGTATGGAGATTTTGTTCTCACGATCCCTTGATACTGTTCTATAAACTTTTCCGTTCGTTTTCCAATATGGCAGCTGTGAGACCCAAACCGTGAGACAACCATGCCTGGTCTCCCCTACATGTGGTTTTTACAAATATCATCTTTATTTTAGAATTCCTGAAGGAGAGCTGATAAAGTTTCGAAAGTCATAATTTCATTCAAAGGAAAAAATCTCAAAACATTTTAGGCCCTGAAGAAACCAAGCGAAAGCTTGGCAAAGTAGCTTTCGCTTGGCGAAGTGAAACAGAAGTTTTGTGTTTATTTTTAACTGATAGACCCATTGATCCTTGAACGGGTTTTCGACACTATCATATTTCAAATGACAAATGATGAAATGAAATTGAATACCCTGTACATTTTCATATTTTTGGATACCTAGCATAAAATATGTTTATGTGATACACTATCTAGGAAAACGAACCTTTTTGAGATATTCATCTGTGTTTATTCAAAAATAATAGGCTATGGTGTAATTCCCACATGAAATAAATTAGTTGAATGCAATCCTCAAATAAGCTAATAATGATTTATCACAACGCTTGATTTCCATAGTCTTGGAGGCCTAATAATGTACAAGGTGCTTTCGAAATTTGTAAAAATAGTGAAGATATATCAAAACTTGATTCCATTATTAAAAAACCATGTATGTATTCAAAACTGATTCGAAAAAGACTTTGACTCACTTTCATCTAATAATCCTTATATCGAAAATCAATGACGACATAGAGTTGAAGAGATATTTCAGCTTTTCTTAGGAAAATAAGACAAATGCGCATATCCACTATGAAATTACGGGCTACGAAATCTTCATTCAGAGCAGTTTCAGGAGCCTTGTTAACTAATTTGCCACTATATTTTTTATGACAGGATTTCAGATAGAAAAATATTTGATAATTGAAAAATATTTATTCCAGATGTTTCTAGGCGACTCTTTTGATCAAATTATTATTTACAGTATGCCTGCGTTCATCCTTATCTAGGGTACTGAATAATTGTAATATTCTCTTCAATTGGAGTGAAATCCATGTGTGAAACAATTTTTAGACAACCCCTTCATATAATAGTCCATTAGAGGCAGATCGAAGAATCCTATTGTGATTTATAGCACAATAATCAAAATTCCAAGTCCAAAAATTAGTATGAATAAATATTCCATTTTTGAAGAAAAGAGAATTGAAACTTTCTATGTTTTTACCACTTTTATTTGTAACTAACGTTACTGCAGTTTCGTCCTATAAGTACATTTTCAAACTTATACATTAAACTAACAATGGTTTATTACATAAGACCTCATATCGCACCCCTGTAGGTAATAATAGAGGTACTAAGGTGCTAATTTGAAAATCGGTGACTAAACTAACAGGTCTGAAGGACCTTCCATGTTCCGCATACCGTTTTTGGAAATTTCGACCACATTTTCCCACATAAACACTATTACACTCTGGACACTTAAGCTTAAAAACTCCAGATTTCTCCAACTTGTCCACCTTATTTTTGGCATAGAAAAGGAAATCAGATACACTTTCACATTGTTTTTTCTGAAGAAACCCGCAATTATCTCTGTTCTTTTTCTAAAATTTACTGCTTTGTTTTCTAACTAACTTCTGGATAGTATCTGCGTTGAAACCATTATATGACCTATCTGTGTAATTATATCAATTTCCCTGAATTGTAGGCTGCTAATTTATGACTGCCTGGATGGAAAGAATCGCTTGGGATGGTAATGTCTGTATAGCTAGGTTTTCTGAAAACATTGAACTCAAATTTATTCTGATTGTGTGTAATGGCCAGGTCTGAGAAATTTATTTGTTTCTCTATTTTTGTTTCGAGTGTGAACTGAATGTTGCTATTGAGATTATTCATGAATGTCATAAACTGGTTCAACTGTCGTGTAGTACCAATGAAACAGGAGAGAATATCGTCTACATATCTGTACCAAAAATGAATATGTTTTTTACCCAGGTCGGAATTTACTATAGTGATCTCCAAGCTGTTCATAAATATGTCTGCTAAAGGTGGACTAAGTGGTGAGCCCATTGATAAACCTGAATCCTGTTTATGAAATTTATTGTTGAACTTTAGGTAGCTCTGATCTAGGCACACATCGAAAGCCGTTGAAACTTCAAAGAAAGTGATATGGTCTACTTTGGCTCGATCTAATATGTCTAAAATGAGGGGCTTACACTCTAAATTCCCAAAAACGGTATACTGTACATGAAAGGTCCTTCAGACTGGAAAAAAATGATTTGACGTTTTCAAACCATTCCTTGGCATGCAACCACAAGTTCCTGAATCTAAACGATACGGAAATGTTACACTATGCAAGGAAGGGTTACAAATTCAATTATTTAGAATCTTTGGAAATTCACAAGCATAAACATTGCGGGTGCAACCTGTTAAATGATCAAATCAATTTAGTTCACTCACCGGTTTTCAAATTAGCACTGTAAATTCAGGTACTCAATCAAGCCGAATACCTCTTTCATTACCTACAGGGGCTAATGTAATAAACCATTGTTAGTTTAATGTATAAGTTTGAAAATGTCCCTATAGGACGCAACTGCAGTAACGTTAGTTACAAATAAAAGTGGTAAAGAACATAGACACTTTCAATTCCCTTTTCCTCATTATGATTTCCTACCACGTAGTAACGGCTACATCCATTAATTTATGAATCGATGTTTGTTAAATTTAGTGTCTACCAGTATGTTTACCAGATTCTGTATAAGCAACATCATGAAACTCAATTCGACTATTTTTAAACTATTCCAATGAATAGTGTTACAAGATGCGGTGAGAAATTCTGGGTTTGACTGGTAGATTTTCCTTAGAATACTCCAAAGACGCATTCTAATGAGCAGTAAAATATTTATAAACTTCTGTTTCCAGATCCTCATTAGAAACATTAGTTTATGTACATGTGAAATGGCAACATGTCTCCTGAAAAACTACCGAGCTTTGCTTTTCGCCGCTTGCTAACGTAATTTCCTTGATTATATACCCCTTTTTGCTACTAAAACATATAAAGGGTGTCAGAAACGAACAAGAACACTTATCAAGAACAGCGTCAAAATTTTAGAATAAGTCAAGGATTTATTGATTTTATTTTGAATATACGATAATGAAAATACTTTTGTCTAATTTCTACTAAGCATATTATTTGTTACGACCGGATTCGGTTGTTCGAGCATTCTCAAGTTACGGTCGTAACAAATAATAAACTCAGTAGAAATTAGACAGAAGTATTTTCTTTATCCTAGATTCAATATGAATTTCTACGAACTAAATAGGTCATCAATCGAACGAGTTGATTTTATTTCATTGGTAGTTTTGATTGCTTCACTTATTCCCAAGCAAGTAAGACATTTTTTTAAAGAAATGGGGAGTCTGGTAAAATGTCATTTCAAAGCCCTTAAAATTCGCTTTATTATTTTTGTAATGAATTACATTTGAAAATAATTGGATTTATTCAGATGCTTATTTACTTTTTGGTGGATTAAACGTTCAGATGAGCGAGTTGCTTTTTGGAGATTCCGTCTAATTAAATAAGAAAGAATTAACTACTCGAGCTTTCACTGAAGTTTATTACTTTCAGGGGGGTCTATGATATAAAACAGGCATTAAATCTCTCCAAACATAATAAGAGATAAAATGGTCACATAATTGTAGCACGATAGCAATAAACATTATAAAAAGATGTTTTTGTTCATTTGATATTACTTTAGATATGAAAATAATCAGTCAGAAAAGAATTTCACTCGAAGTATCTACTCATAGCTACCATCTCTTTTGTTCAACATGAAAATTTATGTTTTCATAACGTTTTCATAATTATATGGATGATCAGCATGAATTAACAAGGAACAACAACCATGAATTCAACGAGTAAGTATTGCGTTCTAATTTCACTAGACCGAACACTCAAAAAAATGGATTTATCTACAAAAACAGCCGGACGTGAAAAGCGGCAAAGTAGACGGAAAACATCCAATTTTCATTTCCAAATACAATCAACAACGGTTTCTTTCTTCATCAAGTGATTGTAAATAATATATTTTTGACTGACTTATAATTGTTGCCAATATTTTCAGACCTAGTTTCAAACTGCCCGATGTTTACTACAGACTAACAAACCAAACTCCTGAACACCTTATTCGAGCGGAAGATGATGTTTTGAGACTGATTAGATGTGCAGCTGTTAGCGGAAAAAATTTCGTCAAGTGGGCTCATCTAAAAGCAAAACAAAATTGGAACATGGAGAATTGGAAACACAATTTGAAAATTTAAATGTTTTTGAAATGTATGAGTTTATTTGCCGTGTTACTTTCAAATGTTGGATTAAATAAACATATTCCAAAAGTTTGGTTTCTATAATGAAAATGTTTAGTAACAACCGTAATTGACGAGTTAACTGTGTTGTCTTATATAGTAGGAACTAGTGTCAATTTTTGTGAGAAACCTAGAGCATCATGTTCATAAAATAAAAATATGACCCCTCCCCAAAAAGCAGCAACTGACATCGGCAGGATTTCCCATGGGTCAAGTTAACGATAGTCTGAGTCTAGCTGCAAACTAGCAAAATGTAGATGAAAATGAGATGAATAAAGTCAATAGAATTTTTCCAAGCGACCAAAAATTGTGACAGCTTCATCACTATTCAAGAAATTACCTTAAATACCGTGAAAAATTTGAACTTCTGAAATAGATCATTAAAAATTATTTACTCGTCGCTAGTACAAACCAAAAGAAACTTATCAAACAATTGAAAGACAAAGACGTTTTTCAATTGAAAGCCGACAAAGGTAACAAAGTAGTAATTCTGGATAAATCGGACTAATGCCAAAGGGTCAATACTTCTCATTTCTAACGGACCGTATGCGAAATTGTCCAGGAACCCGTTACCAAAAGCCGAAGTAGAAGACGTCCTCAAGAAATGCGACAACATACTTACCCTTCAACTGAAAAGGAACTTACAAGTTTTCAACCCAACGGTGTCGAAACTATATTGCCTCCCAAAAATCCACAAACCGGGAAAATCAATGCGCCCCATCGTGTCAGCTATTGGAGCTCCTACCTACCAAATAGCAAAGTGGCTCACTAGGGAATTTCAAAGCTTGTCTATTGCGAAACCAGGATTTAGTATAGAAACTCATTAGAGTTCATGCAACATACAAAAAACATCGTTCTGCAAGAACGTCCCAATTCCACAGACCTTGCTGTACCTCAGGGAAAAATAATTTCGATAATAACGAAATCGATGAATTAGTTTCTCTTATTTGAATTGAAGGATTTATATTTTTAGGAGTGAATAATTTTTGGGAAAGAAAGTTTTTGGCTTTCTACTACTCCTAGAAGATTGCTTTTATGAACAACAGGAAGAAACGGCCATGGGTAACCCATTGTCCCCCTACCTGGCAGACCTGTTCATAAGCAAATTCGAAATGGAAACCAAAGAAAAGTCAAAGTGTTTTCCCAGGATTTGGCTAAGGTATGTGAATGATATTTTCGCGATATTTGATACCAAAAAATCGAATATTGAGAACTTTCCTTTTCAAATAATAGATGTCCATCAATAAAATTCACAAAATAAAGGACAACTACCATTTCTTGACGTTTTGGTAATGAGGAGCCAATAAGGAGGATTAGAATACGATATATTTAGAAAAGAAACAAGCACGTACAAGTATATTCCTGACAGTTCACATCAATGTGGACAGCACAAACGTGCTGGGTTGAATTTTTTAGTACATCGTCTTTTGACTTTCCCTCTAACACATGAGAGGTTCACAAAAGAAAAACGTACAATACAGGAAATAACAACCACTAATGGTTTCTCGAGGGGTATTGTAGATGACATAATAAGGAAGAAGAAGTTTAGGTTAAGAATGAACAAAATCTCGACTTTCAGAAAAAACAAAAACCAAGATAAATATATCTCAGTTCCATAGCACCAATATACGTCATCATATTTTGCAACAAAACCATTCCATAGACTTCAGTTCATTGAGATTAGTTAGACAAGTTAACAACAACAGGCAACTAGATGCCTATGAGAGTGTAGAAATGAGTAAACATAATAATATTATGAATAACAATGACGGACCAAATCCAAATAACATACTATATAGCTTGTTAAAATAATATTATTAGACTTACTGACTATTAGATAAAGACACATTGTAAAAATGAATTTAGGACAAGTAGATAGGCAATATTGTGAAATTATTTTTTTATTTAGCTTGAAAATGGTTTCATATATAGCTATAACATTTAAATATTAGAACAATTCGAACTGAAACAAAATATACATTCAGACGATTCATCAACCATTCTGCAGGTTCAATATCGTCTAAAATACTTATGAAGAAAATAATAATACCTGATATACCACATATAAAAAACCGTGTGATGGCAGACAAATTTACAATCAACAATATTGAAATATCACTATTTAATAGATTTGTACACATATACATGAAAACATTTATTACATTTATATTCATACATATGAGCAAAAACATTTTCATTTTGTATCAAGAAATTCTTTGATAGGTATTATAGTAACATTTGTCCTGCAAATATAATTTCAATTTTGATTTGAAGAAGTTTTTATTCCGTTGCTCTCTCAGATTTGCGAGAAGATGATTGAAAAACTTTATACTTCTATATGAGGGATTTTTTCATAGAATTATGAGCTGTGTGCAGGAATTCTGATGAGGTCTCCATTTCTAGTTTGGTAAGCACGGCAATGATAAACTGTTTGATACATCTCAACATGTTGAGAAATCTATATTTTTGAAAATATGTTTGACACGATTCATCTGGTTTTAGATTGGAAATGAGTCGAATAATTATTTTTTGGGAAACAAATTTCTGCTGAAGCATCCCTAGATGTTGATGTTATAGGATATGTTGCAGCAAATTAGAGCATAACATACATTGATGAGTTGATTGGTATTGAACATATTTTTTAATTGCAATATAGCATAGCATTATTATTTTCTCAACTCATTTCACTATCTATATAAGTTCCAAGAAATTTCGTAACTTCAGAAAGATGGATGGTACTATTTTTAACAACCACTTGAATATCCATCTAGAATGGAAATGCATGCAGACTGTTTTCTCTGCATTCACTATCAAATAATTTCTTCCACACCAATTTATGAATTCTGCTGAATTATTTACTTTTTTTTTGTAAGTCTTCAGGACTATCTGAATCGATGGCCAATGTAGTATCATCTGCATAGAGAACTACTGAACCTGAACTGATATGGTCAGGTAGATCGTTTATGAATAATAAAAAAATTTGCGGCCCCAAGATCGATCCCTGAGGAACTCCCAGGTCCATCTCATAATATTCAGATTTATGCTCTCCGATTTTAACTGATATTTTCTTGAACCGCATGTATGACATCAACCATGACAAGAAATTTCCACCAAAACCAAGGGAATATAATTTACTTTCGATTATCTCAAGGTCAATAACGTCGAATGCCTTCGATAAAATGCACTCCTGAACAGAGATAGAGAAGAACTGCAATACTAATGAGATATATTTTTGGATTATATTTTTGTAATGCAAGAAAACTTGTTTAATTTTTGTGGCAGTCATTGAAGAGTCTGAGGACTACAAATGTTTGACATATTTGCCCAATAGTTTTCCTATAGGTTCATATTTAAAGTGATCTGGTTCATTATCAATAACTCCAGCTTTTTCCTGGAGTAAGTGAATTGCTTGAGTAGTATCTTTCATTCTTCACCATTCTCTTTAACTTCACACATAGTATGACCTAACAAGTCTCCATCCCCTTAACACAACTGCTTCAGATATAGCGTGTATACTAAATGCAAAAATTTACTGTTACAGTAACATTTCCCATTTCAAATTAAACAATTTTCAGGACGCATTCTTACAGTGGCCTACTTCATTTACTACGTAATACAAAACATTCAAGATGCATATCTGTAGTAATTAGTTTTCAAGTCACAGCTCATAAAGATTTCAAACCAATTTTACAGTGGCGTTTCGCTACCCTTTGAAGTTAGCTTATGAATTACCGTGTAGTCGTTCAATATTTTCCAAAGCTAGGACGTTCTTGAGAATTGTCACCGGTTAACGTACTTTTTGAAATAACGCCAAAACTGTTGTTGTTCCGTCGCATAATTATTACGTGTCTTGAACCTAATATCTGTTTATTTATAAAGCCCGTCGAGAAGCCCGTCATGTTTCAAGCGGGATTGCTTTCACGAAGGTAAATCCTCTTTTTTCATATAATTCACAAATCACATTGTGTCTGACGCATATTCAGCACGTTCCATCGATTCAAATTATGACGAGATAATTCACATTTCCTGAATGCTATTAGTTACAGTTTGTCAAGAATAGGAAAAAGTTTCAAAATCTTAGTTTGAGACTGCCTTAGCTGTCTGTTGTGAAGTGAGCATCGCGGGTTAATCGAGTGTACAGTCAGAGCAGAAATAAAACCAATTAAGGAATAACCGCATCGAATGGAATAAAAAATTCCCTTCGTCGTATAATTTTGATTACAAGCTTCACATCAATTAATTCGAAAAGGTTATTTACACTCAAATAGTTCTTGTTGCTGAGTAATCTCGTAGTGATTTTCAAGATTCTGCAGTTACATCAGTGATTCAGATGTGTTGAAATAATACAAATTAATGGAAAAGAAAGTTTTTAGCTTTCTACTACTCCATCTTGATGGATGAAGGAATCTTCCTTCCTTTCTTTGGAAGATTCCCTCATTCTTTTTTTTTGTATCAAGATGGAGTAGTAGAAAGCCAAAAACTTTCTTTCCCAAAAATTAATCACTCCTAAAAATATAACCCTTTCAATTCAAATACAAATTAGCTTCTGCTTCAACAGAAAAGTAAATGATGGAATAGATGAAAACTATTGCAATGTATCTAGTTGTTTGAAGCTGGTTCAAAGTAACTTCAAGAGGTTGTAAAAGTAGTCGTCATGCTTCGTTTTAAAGATTATTTCCCTCGAGTCATAAAAACGATTGAATGCATTATACTGGAATTATTTAACCGACCAAAATGAATCAAATTTAGTAGAAGATATATTATCTAGAGATCTTGCTCATGACAAAAGCTGTCAACATCAATATTTCCATGTTAGAAGCAACTAGTTTTGAAAAGTAAAATGGCAACAAAAAGTATATCTAATAATTTCAAAAAATATTTCCATCAATAAAGTGAAAACTTGTACATGAATCAATTTGGAAACAATTCTTGATATTTGCCAAGATAAAAGATTATGGAAGCCTTTACATCTGTGAAGAATATTGCGTTGATACCCATAGATTAGGCGTTCAAGAAATGAAACGGAGATGATT